CTGTAGATGTACAGTTTCCAATATTCCAGTAAGATATATGCACATTAGCAAGCGGAACCTATTTCGTTGCAGGCTGCTTCATGATCAGTAGTATTCGTGTAACTCAACCGTAACGCGCCGTGTCTAACTGCACTGTAGGTTTGGACGCAATTAATATTGCAGTCTGTGGTCTACTTGCCTACCGAGGCGGTAACAGCACCGACAGCAGCGACATCACCAGGTGGAGGACGACAGCCCGAGACGCATGGGCGTGGAACCTTGTGGAAGATATCGACCTGACACTGTATCGACCCCAGGCACAGTGTGTTACTTCAATGATTTTTAAAAAACCCATTGCAAGCTTGAAAGATAGATGTTTTGTCTTATTAAACAAGACGATTGACTGAGGAATGCAATCCCAATACTTTCATAGATGCATAGCATTCTTGACATATGAACATGGTTTTCATGAAGTCATTGCACCCTTGTTGTTCAGATACGTTCATAAAACCATAGAAGAGTTGACGTGAAGAGGGCTTTGAAAATTAATAGACTACTTGACGTGAATGAAACATTCTTAATTGAATCCATTACTACTTGACGTGAAAATGGCTTTCATTTTGTCATTCGGCACATGATGGACCACGCAGGTATGAATTGGAAGCCATATGCTTTTGTAGCCTGATGGCACTGTCAACTTGCAAGTCATTCAAACGACGGACAACGCACACTTTCTTCTTCGCAGTATTGACAACACAACATAATACATACTTCAGCATCACAGTCGCTACAGGAATTATTACCACGTGCATTGGCGTTTCTCATTCTTTTATATATTAAGATTATTTTATCAGTTGGTTTCTTCCTAGCGCTAGGCCATCAATGATACAGAGTCATGCGTATACGTATTGTAAGTGTTATCTAACACAATAAATGTCGATACCGCGTGCATTTTGGATATTCATGGGACTAACGTCCCATTTCTGTAGCTTAACATACACTACGGTTGCTAATCGCTTTTCTAACACGCACCCTGACATAGTTGGAACAATACCCAGTGCATCAGTATACTTAGTGCTAACGTATACGTACTCTTTTGTAAGAATACCCTATGCATAGGTATTGCCAGTGTTAACGTATACCACCTTGTTCATCGGTATACTAAGCTCTAACGCATACGTTCTCTTTTGCTAGAATACCTTTAAGTTATCTTTTGGTACTCCCTATGTATAGGTAAACAAAACGTCTGCCGAAGTAAAACGGTGTCCCTAGTGTGGACATACGAAACGGTTGTTGAGATAATACCCTTTGTATCGGTGTCCCTAGTGTGGACATACGAAACGGTTGTTGAGATAATACCCTTTGTATCGGTACCCCTAGTGTGGACATACGAAACGGTTGTTGAGATAATACCCCCTGTATCGGTATCTCTAGAGCTAGCGCATGGTATTATTGCAAAGATGCGTCTATAACCCAAAAATAGAAACACTACCTCGCGAGTGGGCATTTCTCGGAACAATATTCACCTCTACGCCAAGACATACCACGTGCATTTGCATTCAATACGGTACACAATGATCGTTAAGACATCACTGCGCGCGTTGTTATTCCGTGGACTAAAATACACCTCGACTGTTTGGATAATACACTCAGTATCAACAGTTCAAGAGCTAATGCCTCGTGTTTATTATACACAGTTCTGTTGTGTTGATAATTTCTCTACATTTATACTGCGCAATCCATCCAAATAAGGTAAAATGTATCTCTCGCCTCTGTGTCATACACAAGTATACGACTTGTATGGCTGCAACGTAAGGACTGAGATGAGCGTCGCTGCTTGCAATGCGATACAGACGGATATATTTATATATCGCTCTCTTAGAACATATGGTAGAATACCGTATGTGCGTGGTTAGATAGCTACACTGATAAGGACGTAACCATTACTGTTATCAAGATGAGTATGTTTTTACAGTACTTGGATACATTAGTGCTTGTATTACCTACATGAGTTGATGTCATTACTGGAAGACAAACGTTATGGTGACGGATGCGGTACCCAGTGCCATACCAACAGTGAGAAATGTGTTGGCAGAACACCGCTTAGCAGAATACACGTGATCAAACAGAAATCGATTTGAACAAGACACAAGAACAATCACTTTTATCATGCGTTAGAATCGTAACAATAGCCCCTTCATGAGGGATTTATTTCTTCAATTTGTTGTGAGTGCATTTGGTAATGCCCAATACAAAGGCGACGTTTTGTTGTGCTGTGTTGGCATGTCGTGGTAACGGTCCCTAGGCGGTCGGTGACGTCCACAAAAGCCCTCCCTTCCTCAACACACCACCCGGTCACTCACATCAACACAATGGCCTGAAGAACATGCTGAACTGATTGTCCTCGCTATTGCTGTTTAATAGTCGACCTGAGATGGTGCTTGTGTTTCAAGAGTTCAAAACAAGCCATGCAAAACTGTTGAAATTGCTTGAGGCACAATGCGCCATCTGCAATAATGTTGGTATTGACAGAAGCTGAATGTACGATCTGCAATACAGTTAGTATTGACAGTAGTACCACACCACCACCTGTAGTACCACTGGTATAGTACAATTCACAACCGGTAACACTGCTTGTATTGCTGGAAGTTCAAAACACAACCTCTAACAGCTCAATACACAACCTCTTAACCTGCATGTATTGCTTGAAGCTACATAAACAACCTATAACCCTACGTGTATTGTTGGAAGTACAAAACACAACCGGTAACACTGCTTGTATTGCCTGAGGCTCAATACACAAACTCTAACCCTGCTTGTATCGCTTGAAGCTAAATACACAACCTCTAACCCTGCTTGTATCGCTTGAAGCTAAATACACAACCTATAACCCTGCTTGTATTGCTTGAAGCTAAATACACAACCTATAACCCTGCTTGTATTGCTTGAAGCTAAATACACAACCTATAACCCTGCTTGTATTGCTTGAAGCTAAATACACAACCTATAACCCTGCTTGTATTGCTTGAAGCTAAATACACAACCTATAACCCTGCTTGTATTGCTTGAAGCTAAATACACAACCTATAACCCTGCTTGTATTGCTTGAAGCGATGGGGCAGGGTACGCTCACCTTTTCGCGAACACTTAGTTTCGCCAGTATCAAATAGTGGCGAAACAAGGTATTCGCGATAATGTAAGCGTAACCTATTCCTACAGGTGTCAGAGAAACAATTGTTCAGCTCCTTCGTTCACAAAACAAAATCGCTCTCTTAGAACATATCCTATGATTTGTTTTAAATGCAATTCCAGCTAAGATATATTATTCATACGATCCATATTCTTAGTTGTTTATCACGTCCCCATACACATGTTCTCTGCATCATCCACATTTTTTGTTGCAATGCAATCAAAGTCAATAAATAAGCGACAAAAGCCTTTCCATATCCAATAGAAATCTCTACATAAAGCAGAGTAGATTGTACAATTTCGACTATATCATGAGCATGTGTTTATGAACCACTATCAAATAGTGATGATACCAGGTGTTCACGAAAAGGTGAGCGTATCCTGCCCCACCGGTGGCACCCGTTACAAACACACGCAAAGGCAGGTCAATTGTTCACCTAAAAAAACATGGGAACATATGGTACAAGTCAAAATAGGGAATTGGATCGGACATCATTTTTGTCACTGATGCGTCAAATTTGGAAATTCAAGACATGTTCTTTATGAGTTCCATGTCATTTGTTCTTGATATAGTACGAGTAAACACGATCACAAACATAGCCATATACCCCTAAGAAATACGTCTTTGTATATCTCATCTATAAATTAGTTCAGTATAAGAGGTGATTATATTTATGGATAACAACTTCTTTACTGAAGGTAAGGTTCCAAGGCTACTTCTGAGGTAATGTTGTAGTTGGTGATAATGTTCTTCAGGAAGATGGAATTGAACAGAGTGACGTCTCTTACTGCCTCATAGTTAATGTCGAATAAAGAACCACCCAATTTCTTTTATTCACATGAGGAAGAGGCATCAAGTAGCCTTAAAACGCCGCTACAAATAAGAAAGCAGTTGTTATCTGTAAAACGCATCACATCTTCTTCCAACGTCTAAATGCCTATGAAAGAGTTGACTTGTTTTGTATTGTTTCCATGCTGTTACCCATGTGTAAAACGCATCACATCTTCTTCCAACGTCTAAATGCCTATGAAAGAGTTGACTTGTTTTGTATTGTTTCCATGCTGTTACCCATGTGTAAAACGCATCACATCTTCTTCCAACGTCTAAATGCCTTTGAAAGAGTTGACTTGTTTTGTATTGTTTCCATGCTGTTACCCATGTGTAAAACGCATCACATCTTCTTCCAACGTCTAAATGCCTATGAAAGAGTTGACTTGTTTTGTATTGTTTCCATGCTGTTACCCATGTGTAAAACGCATCACATCTTCTTCCAACGTCTAAATGCCTATGAAAGAATTGACTTGTTTTGTATTGTTTCCATGCTGTTACCCAAGTGTAAAACGGCTGAACACTCCCGATACAGACCAGTGGACGTCGTAGGACGTGTTCTTGATTAAGGTGTTCCCGATCTCACCCCCTAGTGCTTATATGCCCTTGACAAACTATTCTTGGCAAAGCGTCCTCCATAATGTCCTTCATGAACCATATTGATGCAGTCGACCCTAAATCCTGATCCTCATAAAGTCCCTACGGACCCGCATCATGGTGCATAGATCTCCTAGTGAGCCGTTACATGGTGTGTCTACTAAGATGCCGTAACATGGCATGTATACTTCCACAGCTGTAAACAAAAGCCTCAGATCCCTGTCCATTGTACGATTCCGACTATATCGTAAGCACGTGTTTAATAATCACTATCAAACAGTGATGATAACAGATAACAGTGATGATAACAAGGTGAGCGTACCTTGCCCACCGGTGGCACTCACAAACACATGCAAAGGCAAGTCAAGTGACATACATCAAGTAGCTTGTACGGGCAATAACTCACCTGTGTTGTTCGGGCGTCAGTGGATTTCGGGTTATGCACACATCTGAGAATCGGCCTGAAACAAACAATTACTTACATAAAACAAATCAAGTCTTTGAAAGGCTTTTAGAAGTGATACACATGAGGAAGAGAATGTATGGACATCAACTTCTTTTTGATGAAGAACACAACGTTTCGGAGTATATGCTTACTCCTTCATCAGGTGAATGATGAAGGAGTAAACATATATTCCGAAATTTTGTGTTCGTCATAATAAATAAGTTGACATCGATAAATCTTCTTCCTTATAAAACAAATGTTACAAAGTACAAGGATGTGGAATATTTTCATTTTTGCCAATCGCAAAGACCCTCAAATGCAACAACAGCCTAGTTAGTTATTTTACAATGGTACGTGACACCAACCTACATGTACTCATATGGCAATTTACCAAACATGAAGAGGAAGCAGTTTTGTTCGAAGCAAAACAAGCCCCTATCAGCGTGTGAGCAACGTGTTCGGGCCAAGGATACGGGGGCGTCGTCAAATGTCATGTAATAACTGTAGGTAACAAAGTACTCAATTTACAAGACAAGCATGACAACCAGAGTGACACGTGTTTCTTGTAGATCCATTAAGTTAAAATATTCCAGTATGCTCCTCGCTGTTACCGAGTAAATTGTCCTGTTTCGTTTCTGTGTTACCACAAGGTTATATGCATGAGTGCAATTTACAGACGTGTCATATCTGATGCATAGACCACGTTGTAGACCATGTGTAGGGCACCGGAATATTCCTAGACGAACAGTTAACAGGTTACATCTAAATTACTTTGGCATCTCAATTACAAGTTTGAACAGGTTAAATATTGATAAAGTACTTTAGGTTAACATTATCACATGGTTACGTGTTTTCATGTGACTGTGTGTTTCCATGTGACTGTGTGTTTTCATGTGACTGTGTGTTTTCATGTGGATGTGTGTTTTCATGTGGCCGTGTGCTTTCTTGTGGCCGTTTGCTTTCACGTGGCTGTGTGTTTTCATATGACTATGTGTTTTCATTTGTTTGTGTGTTTTCATCTGTTTGTTTGCTTTCATGTGGCTGTGTTTTCAGGAGATTGTGTGTTTTCATGTGGCTGTGTGTTTTCATGTGACTGTGTGTTTTCATGTGACTGAATGTTTTCATGTGACTGTGTGTTTTCATGTGGTTGTGTGTTTTTATGTGGCTGTGTGTTTTCATATGGTTGTGTTTTTTTCATATTGCTGTGTGTTTTCATGTTGCTGTGTATTTTCATATTGCTGTGTTGTTTCATGTGACCGTGTGTTTTCATGTGACTGTGTGTTTTCATGTGGTTGTGTGTTTTCATGTGGCTGTGTGTTTTCATATGGTTGTGTTTTTTTCATATTGCTGTGTGTTTTCATGTTGCTGTGTATTTTCATATTGCCGTGTTGTTTCATGTGACCGTGTGTTTTCATGTGGTTGTGTGATTTCTTTTGACAGTGTGTTTTCATATGGTTGCGTTTACATGTGACTGTGTGTTTTCATGTGACTGAGTGTTTTCACTTGACTGTGTGTTTTCATGTGGCTGTGTGTTTTCATGTGACTGTGTGTTTTCATGTGACTGTGTGTTTTCATGTGACTGAGTGTTTTCATTTGACTGTGTGTTTTCATGTGGCTCTATTGTGACAGTAATGAAACTTGTCCGAATAATCGACCTATCTGACATCTTTAATTTCAGTTACCGGATCGAAATGTCGTAAGCATGTTCTATTGACAAAATTCCTGGGATCACAATTTCAGCTTCATTGAGCGAAAAGGTTAAGAGGATCTGTTGAAACAGCTTTGTCAATACATTGAATACTGACGTCGCAGGCCATCACAAAGAAAATTCCAACACAACACGTATTATGTGTCAGATTAATTCTTATGTACACCTTGTCAAATTACAACTAGTACATCAGGTCTCACACGTCTTATGAATGGGACCCGTGAAGATTCCGGGGTAGAATAGGTCTTCAGCAACCCATGCTTGCCATAAAAGGTGACTATGCTTGTCGTAAAAGGCGACTAACGGGATCGGGTGGTCAGGCTCGCTGACTTGGTTGATGCATGTCATCGATCCCAATTGCGTGGATCGATGCTCATGATGTCAATCACTGGATTGTCTGGTCCAGATTCGATTATTTACAGACCGCCGTCATATAGCTGGAATATTGCTGAGTGCGGCGTTAAACAACAAACCAACCAACCAACTTATGAATTGTAACTTATTAATGTCTGTATGGCATCTGATGGATTACTATATGTCCGAGCAGTATACAATCGCTGTACATACTACACCGGCTGAGGGTATTCGATAATAGGGGATTTATAGAACAATTAATGTGAGGTGTTATAACGGGTATATATAACGTCAGCACATTCGTGATGGTAGGTAAACATCACGTGTATTCCAAGACAGCTAATTCATATAACGATGGCGGGAATACATTATGCCACATAAGTGTATTCAGTTGTAAGAGGTATGTATCACGCTACATAAGGGTATTAGGGTATATCACGGCATATGAGGATATTCATGATAGTGGGTATATATACCATCATATGAGGGTATTTCATGATGGTGGCATACATCACGCCATATGAGAGTATTTCATGATGGCGGGTATATATCACGGCATATGAGGATATTCATGATAGTGGGTATCAATACCGTCATATGAGAGTATTTCATGATGGCAGGTATGTATCACGCTACATGAGGATATTCATGGTAGTGGGTATATATACCATCATATGAGGGTATTTCATGATGGCGGCAGACATCAAGGCATATGAGAGTATTTCATGATTGCGGGTATATATCACGGCATATAAGGATATTCATGATAGTGGGTATAAATACCATCATATGAGAGTATTTCATGATGGCGGGTATGTATCACGGCATATAAGGATATTCATGATAGTGGGTATAAATACCATCATATGAGACTTTTTCATGATGGCGGGTATATATCACGGCATATTAGGATATTCATGGTAGTGGGTATATATACCATCATATGAGACTATTTCATGATGGCAGGTATATATCACGGCATATGAGGATATTCATGATAGTGGGTATATATACCATCACATGAGGGTATTTCATGATGGTGGCATACGTCACGAAATATAAGAGTATTTCATGATGGCAGGTATATATCACGGCATATGAGTATATTCATGATTGTGGGTATATATACCATCATATGGGGGTATTTCATGATGGTGGCATATATCACGCTATATGAGAGTATTTCATGAGGGTGGGTATATATCACGGCATATGAGTATATTCATGATAGTGGGTATATATACCATCATATGGGAGTATTTAATGATGGTGGCATACATCACGCTATATGAGACTATTTCATGATGGCGGTTATGTATCACGGCATATGAGGATATTCATGATAGTGGGTATATGTACCATCACATGGGGGTATTTCATGATGGTGGCATATATCACGCTATATGAGTATATTCATGATAGTGGGTATATATACCATCATATGGGAGTATTTAATGATGGTGGCATACATCACGCTATATGAGAGTATTTCATGATGGCGGGTATGTATCACGGCATATAAGGATATTCATGATAGTGGGTATAAATACCATCATATGAGACTTTTTCATGATGGCGGGTATATATCACGGCATATTAGGATATTCATGGTAGTGGGTATATATACCATCATATGAGACTATTTCATGATGGCAGGTATATATCACGGCATATGAGGATATTCATGATAGTGGGTATATATACCATCACATGAGGGTATTTCATGATGGTGGCATACGTCACGAAATATAAGAGTATTTCATGATGGCAGGTATATATCACGGCATATGAGGATATTCATGATAGTGGGTATATATACCATCATATGGGGGTAATTTAAGATGGTGGGTATATATCACGCCATATGAGTATATTCATGATAGTCGGTATATGTACCATCACATGGGGGTATTTCATGATGGTGGCATATATCACGCTATATGAGAGTATTTCATGATGGCGGGTATATATCACGGCATATGAGGATATTCATGATAGTGGATATATATATCCTCACATGAGGGTATTTCTTGATGGTGGCCTATATCACGCTATATGAGAGTATTTCATGATAGCAGGTATGTATCACGGCATATGAGGATATTCATGATAGTTGGTATATATATACCATCATATGAGACCATTTCATGATGGCGGGTATGTATCACGGCATATGAGGATATTTATGATAGTGGGTATATATACCATCATATGGGGGTATTTCAAGATGGTGGGTATATATCACGGCATATGAGTATATTCATGATAGTCGGTATATATATCATCACATGAGGGTATTTCATGATGGCGGGTATATATCACGGCATATGAGGATATTCATGATAGTAGATATATATATCATCACATGAGAGTATTTCATGATGGTGGCCTATATCACGCTATATGAGAGTATTTCATGATATATAGCAGGTATATATCACGGCATATGAGGATATTCATGATAGTGGGTATATATACCATCATATGAGGATATTTCATAATGGTGGCATACATCACGCTATATGAGTGTATTTCATGATGGCGGGTGTATATCACAGCATATGAGTATATTCATGATAGTGGATATATATACCATCATATATGGGTATTTCATGATGGCGGGTATATATCACGGCATATGAGAATATTCATGACAGTGGGTATATATACCGTCATGTGAGGGTATTTCAAGGTCGCGGGTATATATGATGTTAGCTAAGATTATCAAGTCAAAACGATTTTATAACACTTATATCACATTAGCTGCGACATCATATTCAGTGACAGAGGCTATATATCACGTCTGCTGAAGATATTCAAAGATATGGAATTAGTGCTATATATCATACTTGTTGATGGTGTTCCATCACAACGAGTAGATGCCACATCTGATGAATATACTAATGGATGGCGGGTAAACATCATATTTGCTGAACATATTCAACGATACCTTG